CATTCCCCCATATTTTTCTCCTAGAAATTCTAAAGTTTTGCCTTCCACACCTAAATCTAGAATCCATCTAGAATTCAGTTTTTGTTAATGGTGTGAGGTAGGAACCTAATTTTATTTTTTCTTACTATGAATAGCCAATTATGCTATGTATTAAATAGTCCCTCCCATCCTCAGTGTATTAGTTTTCTGTGACTGATGTATCTACCACCACAAGCTTAGTGAATTAAAAAAACACAGATTTATTGTTTTACAGTTCTAGAGATCAGAAGGCTGAAAGGGTCTCATGAGGCTAAAATGAAAGTGTCAGCAGGGCTCTGTTCCTTCTGGAAGCTCTAGGGGAGAATCTGTTCTTTGCCTTTTCTAGCTTTTAGAGGCTACCTGCATTCCTTGGCTCATGGCTTCCTTCTTGCTTCAAAGGTAGCAATTGCATCACTCCGACCTCTGCTTCTGTCATCACATCTCCTCTGAGTTTGCTGTCTCCCTCTTTAACATAAGGACACTTGTGATTACATTAGGTGCATATGGATAATCCAGGATAATTATCCCACCTTAAGATCCTTGCTTAACTTAATCACATCTGCAAAGTCCCTTTTGCCATGTAAGGTAACGTATTCACAAATCATGAGGATTATGATGTGGATATCTTTAGGGAGCGATCATTCTACCTGCCACACTCAGTGATATGTAATGCCACTTGGATCATTCATCATTTAATGTATGAAGAAATCTGTTTCTGGACTTTGGATTCCATTGTTTTATTTGTCTGTCTGTGCCCCAAGACTACACATATCACACAATCGTAATTACTATAGCCCTGGTGGTGCAGTGGTTAAGCGCTGGACTGTTAACCAAAAGGTTAGTGGTTAGAACTCACCAGCTGCTCTGTGGAAGAAAGATGTGTCAGTCTGCTGCCATAAAGATTACAACCTTGTAAACCCTATGGGGCAGTTCTACTCTGTCTTATATGAGTCGGAGTCAACTCAATGGTAATGAGTTTGGGTTTATAACGAATCTTGGTATTTGATAAGAATAGCCATCAATGTAGTCTACTTCTGAATGCTTTGGCTATTATTGGACTTTTTTCTGGCATCGTTTGTTGAGAAGACTTTACTTCTCGATTTGTTTGCCTGGCATTTTTGTTGAAAATCAATTGACCATCTAAGGATAGTCTATTTCTGGACCTTGTAATATTCCATTCATCCATTTACCTATGTGTATGACAATCCACACTGCAATACAATGTTAAATAGATGTGGTGGGATAAAGATATCCTTGTCTTGATCCTGGACTTACGGGAAAACCATTTAGTCTTTCACTCTAAGTAAGGATGTATTTCTTAGTATGAGACCATGGTAAAAAAAAAATAAAAATAAAAATAAGAGGAAGAAAATCCTGATTTAGAGAGCTCTGACATGACCTAATTTTTTTTTTTTTAATTGTGCTTTAAGTGAAAGTTTACAGTTCAAGTTAGTTTCTCATACAAAAATTTATACATACATTGTTATGTGACCCTAGTTGCTCTCCCTATAATGTAACAGCACACTCCTCCTTTCCACCCCGGATTTCCTGGGTCCATTCAGCCAGCTGCTGTCCCTTTTTACCTTCTCATCTCGCCTCCGGACAGGAGCTGCCCATTTAGTCTCATGTCTCTACTTGAGCTAAGAAGCTCACTTTTCACAAGTATCATTTTGTGTCCCATAGTCCAGTCTAATCTTTGTCTGAAGAGTTGGCTTTGGGAATGGTTTCAGTTCTGGGCTAACAGAGCGTCCGGTGGCCATGTCTTCTGGGGCCCCTGTAGTGTCAATCAGACCATTAAGTCTGTTTTTTTACTGGAATTTGAGTTCTATACCCCTCTTTTCTCCTGCTCCATCAGGGACTCTCTGTTGTGTTCTCTGTCAGGGCAGTAACATGACCTAATTTTATTTATCTTTGTGCTCCCTACTGCCAACATGGTTCTTGGCATTCTAAGCCCTTGTATTTTTTAATTAATCAGTGAATGATGACATGAAAAACTAGCTGGGTCATTTGATTTGGTAATATTCCCCTTAGTAGCATACATACATACATACTTTGATAGCTGTTCTTATTTCACCCGTTTGTAACCACCATGCAGGATGAGTACACAAATCAAAAGCATTTCCAGAATTTTCTATGTAGACAAAATGTTGTTTGTATATGCTGTATCTGTAGTCTTAGCTTTTCATTATATGTTCGCATCTTTTATTTGTTGATCCTAAGAATAACTCTTTAACACAGAGAATGTAAGAAAAATTGAGTCTCCTGTTCTGAGTTGTGAAATTTGGAGTAGAATGTTATGGACCTAGATAGTGTTTAAAAAAATAAATATTAAAATTTATTTTAAAAATCAACATAAAATGTTATTTTTTTAAATTGGGGAGTTGCCTGGACTTATGTTAAAATCTTTTTTATTTCTATAATCTAGTTGGAGAGAAAATGCCTTTGGAAATTTTGTAAACTAGAAGGATTCTCCCTAATTCTTTTCTGTTATGATTAATTTATTTTATTGTATAAGTTTTTCTTCTAAATGTTATGTGCAACATGTTGTTGATTTGGGCATACCTTTGCTATCTAATAAATGTCATATTAAAAATTTTTCTCATCTGTATATTGAATATGAAAGTAGGTCTTGGTCAAAACCAAACTTTAAAATTGTCAGAATGCTATCCATCATAGTTTAAATTTACTATTAGTAATGATTAGGAACCAGTGCAGATAGCCTACTGTACCATGAAGAATCAAGTTGTTCATTTTATATTTGTCCTTTCATGACATTTTCATTTCACTTAGGACTTAAGAACAGATCTTCTGAAAAAAAAAGTGTCCTAGACTAGAGGTCTGAAATATATTTATTTATATATTTATGGCATAACTTACTTCTCAATGGTTAAGTTTGAAGAAACCCATCAGTTATGCTTGGGTCAAATCATCCCTTTACTCTACCTTAAAACAGACTTTCTATTGATTTTGTTTCCTAGTTCAATTTTGTGGGGAAATTGCTTGGACCAAGAGGAAACTCCTTGAAGAGACTGCAGGAAGAAACAGGTGCTAAAATGTCTATCCTGGGCAAAGGATCAATGAGAGATAAAGCAAAGGTACTGAACTTTGAACTTGATATTTAACATATACGAAAGGTTACCTGTAACACTGGTGGTCAAATTTATAAGCATACCTGAATTGTTCTTCTGCCATTTCCTATAATACTCACCTCTGGAATCACCCTGCTATATTTTCTGATGTTTTCTCTATCTTCATAAAAGTCATTTATCGGCATTCTTTCCGAGATCATATGGTTCTATATTTTTATTCTCTTTGGTGCTTTGTGTAGGTTGCTATCATATCTTTTTGCTTTTTTTAGATCCTCTGCAGGATGTTTCTATCTGTCTATGTTCATTTTCTTTAATTCCCTGGCTGGATCCCTTTTCTCTCTTCAATCATATCACCTAATCACATCCATTGTATTGTTCTCCCATTTTATCTCTCTGCTCTTATTTCCCTTTGATCCTCTTACCTGAAGCAATTTCAAATACTTGCCTGCAAATCTAAGAGAATCTTTTTATTTCTTAAAATGTTTCAATGATATTAAACAGCTCACCTGACCTCCAGAAGAACAGTAAGCTAAGAAATATATCGAGTTTGATGTTTGAAATGATTTATTTCATATATGAACTACATCATTTCCCATTTTATAAAGTGATGGCAATTTTCTGTGTGTTAGAATTCTAACTTTGGAAGAAATAATAACTATTTGTAGAGATTTATTCATAAAGATTCTTTTAAAGTTTATTGGGGCAGGGTGGATGTGTTCTGTGGTGTCATTTGACCAGGCCATACTTACAATGTGATATGGTGTTACCATGGAAAATAAAATGTTCGATCATGTATTTCTGGCTACGGGACTACTTAGAAAATTGCTTAGGAGTTCTTTCTTTGAACTATTAATGATGCATCTCGAATGAAGGCATTTATATGGAGAGATGTCACTGAACTGGTGAATATATCATGCAGAAAATATTTTATTGTTATTTAAGAGTCTATATTTAAAGTTGACCAAGACACTCTAAATGGATGCTTTCTTAGAATGGGTCAATAGTCGACTCTGTAAATTACAAAATGGATAGTTTTTACTATCTTTGATTTTGGATAACTTTGGTTACTCTATACTGTGTGTATTTTCAAAAATAACTACCATCTTGCCAATCTTACTGCCTGTAGTTTCTTTGACTAAAATTTAGAAGAAATAATGTATTTGAGAAGTAGTAATGCCAGCATCTAGACGTGAGATAAGCTTTTGTCTTCTGTCACAAACCAGGTTAGATTTTTTTTGACATATGAGGAGAAATTGACACATAATAACCCATACTTGTGCTTTACAGATATTCATTAATAGTGTGTTATATATTCTCCAGGTTTCTCATATTCTCACAGTATAAACTCCATATTATGTGATTTTATACTTTTACACATTCTTTGCGGTTTAGGCCAGGCATAGTCTTACTAGGAAGGTTTCCCTGAACCCCTAGAAGAGGCTAAACCTTCTCTTACCAGTTATTGAAATTATCCATTTGTCTGTCTGTTTCTCTTATTAAACTATAAGCTTCCACAGGTCAGAGTTTTGTTTTTTTTTTTTTATTGTGCTTTGGATGAAAGTTTACAGAGCAAATTGGTTTCTCAGTAAACAATTAATACACATATTGTTTTGTGACATTGGTTACTAATTCCACAACATGTCAACACTCTCTCAGTTTTGACCTTGGGTTCCCCATTTCCATTTGTCCAGGTTTCCTTTCCTTTCCTGCCTTCTCATCCTTGCCCCTGGGATGGTATGCCCATTTAGTCTTATATATATGGTTGAACTATGTGTATTATTGTTTGTTTTACAGGCCTATCTAATCTTTGGCTGAAGAGTGAACCTCAGGAGTGACTTTAATGCTGAGTTAAAAGGGTGCACAGGGGCAGAGAAATTTCTCAGTCAGCTTTGCACACTCAGTATGTTGCCTCCACATAGTCTCTGCTTATCTTTTAAAGCAGATGGGTATATATTTTTCAAACCCATATATTTGGACATTTTCTTCTGTTCATAAAGTTTTACATTGGATTCCTGTTTCCTTGGAAGCATGTAAGATACCAGCATAAGCATTTGAAAATCTAGTAGGAAACAAATTTGCTTGTATTAAGTTCCCATGAAGTTTACCTGTTACTTAAAATCCAATATTTCATTGATTACGTTTTGGGTGATGTATCGTGTATGGTTATGCTTTGAGTGATTTCATATTTTTTTCTTTTGAAAATGAGACACAATAAAAATAGTGATGATAATGATGACATATAGCACTATATAATACATTTTTTCCAATCTAGTAGGGCATAAACAGCCAAGGGGTCAGTCACACAGCTAAAATCAGACAACAGGCATGGATATGAAAAAAAAATTACCTTAGAAATCGCTTGATTAAAATAAAAATAAGACTTTGGCAAACTATTAATTACTATGCTGCTGTTTTGTCTTTCTGCAATATGATCTGAACAGGAAAAAAAAGTTTTGTGATTTTACTTTTTTAACAAGTAAATAAAACATCTGATTCTGCAGTGGAAGTGTATATGTGTGTGTGTATAGGTACAACCACACAAACATGCACATATTCATTTATTAATAGAAGAAGTACTTGTTGGGCATACGATGTGCCATTCACAGTTCTAGTTGACAGCAAGGAACACAACAAAGATTTTCCCTTCTTGGAATTCACATTCCAAGGGAAGATACAGACAGTAAATAAGTGAATAAATCCATTTTATATTTTCAGGCATTGATAATTTTGATGGGTTTTAAAACAAAAACAGAAGGGAAAAGAGGCTAAAGCTGGAGGAAACAATATTTTGATGTGGTGATCAAGTAAAACACTGGATAATGAGAGGGAAGTAACAAGAGTAAGATCAGAGACTAGAGAGAGAATATAAAAGCCCTGAGGGAGAATCCGTATCTTTGTTGTTGCTGTTAGTTGGTGTGGAGTAGATTCCAACTCGTGGAGACCTCAAGTGCACAGAATAGAACTGCTTCATGGGGTTTTCCAGGCTGTGACCTTTCTGAAGCAGATTGCCAGGCCTGTCTTCCAAGGCACCTCTGGGTGGGTTCGAACCACCGAACTTTAAGCTAGTAGTCAGGTTCTTAAACATTTGAGCCACCCAGGGACTCCTACCTTTATAACCATATCTGTATCTATAAATACTATTACAGTTATAACCATACCTCTGTTTATAACTATATTTATTCCCATTCAACTACCACATGATTTTTTTTCCTCGCCTTTATAGCAAAAATCACTGAAAAAGTTATTTGCGATAAATTGCCTTCCTTGATTTTTTATCATTTTCCTCCTCAGTCCTTCTGACTGGATTTGCTTCCCAACCTCTAAGCCCAGGGCTTAGTCTTCAGACTTCTTTCTTCCCTTATGATCTTATGCCAACTATGTGGTGCTGAACCCAAAATGTATACATCTAACACCCCCATATATTTCTTAAGTTTTCGATTTATATATTTAACTATTTAGATACAACTTGGTATGTCCATGTGTATGTCTAACAGGCATTGAAACTTAAAATATTCAAATATATACATTCTCACATATATATATGAATGAAATATGTATGAATTATATGTTACCTGTATGTTTGGTATTTATATGTTTACCTGTCTATGAATTATGTATGTGTATACATATATATACACACACATATATACATATACATATATATACATATACATGGTGGTGCAATGGTTAAGAGCACACAAAGAGAGAAAATGAAACAGATCAAAAGGGTAAGAGAAAGAAATTAAAAGATTGGAAGAGATGCTTTTGCCTATTTTCAGCACCTTAGTGAACACAATATAGGCTATGTGGTCTCAAGACACCTCTCTTTTGTCTTATATTTATTCAAAAGCAAGTCTCATTGAAACAGGAAATGAAAACCAGCTCATATTTAGTTGAACAGTGCTTGGTGCTTAGTGGCTAAAGCCTACAAATGTTAGCTGTGTTTATTTAAAATTCATATCAGCATGCATTAAGGAAATCAACATGTCTCTGCAAATCTGTTTTTTTTTCCACATATTTATCCAATAATAAGAATAAAAAAATAAATGAAGCATTTCTTGGCCCTCCTTGTACACCTGCAGTCAACGCCTGGTCAGTGGTCCCCTATAGAGTCCCATAATCAGACGCCTTCATGGAAGAACTTGCTTGTTAAACTTATTTACAGTTAGTGGCTTGCTTCACTTTTCTAGGAAGCGATAGTGCAGATTATTTTTGTGTGTTATGTATGTTGTACAGGTGCTACACAATGTGTCTTTAACTTGCTCTTTAAAAACCAAACCCGTTGCCATCGAGTTGATTCCGAATCCTAATGACCCTACAGGACAGAGTAGAAGTGTCCCATAAGGTTTCCAAGGCCGTAAGCTTTACAGAAGCAGACTGCCAAATCTTTCTCCTGCGGAACGTCTAGTGGGTTTAAACCACCAATCTTTTGGTTAGCAGCTGAGTGCTTAACCACTACGCCACCAGGGTTCCTTCACTTACTCTTTACCTCACGATAAAAACAGATATTTGGATAATTGTGTAAGTCGGGACAAAATAACTGATAATATTTACTACAAATCTACTATGTGTTCAACAGTAGGTTAAATTTTATGCTGGATAGAAAATAATGATGAGACATGACTGAAGCCCTCACAGAGCTTGTAATTTAATTAAACATCCTGATATGTTTAACATTATCTTGAAAAAAAAGTTAAGTTTCAATCATATGGATTAGTAGGTAGAGAGGATGTCAAACACATTTAGTTTGATCAGAGTTCTTAATCCTTGGATAGGAAAATAGGAATTTCTCAGATTTGTTCTAGTCTTGTTGAAAAATTGTTTCTCACATGTATTATGATGTATTTCACGCTGCTCATTTAGAGTCCAAATATATCATAGGCTGGAATAACCTTAAAAATTTAACCGCAAAGAAAGGAGCCCTGCTGGTGCGGTGGTTAGGAGTTCAGTGCTAACCAAATGATCAGCAGTTTGAGTACGCCAGCCCTGCTTGGAAACTGTATGGG